ATATATATATATATATATATATATATATATATATATATATATATATATATATATATATATATATATATATATATATATATATATATATATATATATATATATATATATATATATATATATATATATATATATATATATATATATATATATATATATATATATATATATATATATATATATATATATATATATATATATATATATATATATATATATATATATATATATATATATATATATATATATATATATATATATATATATATATATATATATATATATATATATATATATATATATATATATATATATATATATATATATATATATATATATATATATATATATATATATATATATATATATATATATATATATATATATATATATATATATATATATATATATATATATATATATATATATATATATATATATATATATATATATATATATATATATATATATATATATATATATATATATATATATATATATATATATATATATATATATATATATATATATATATATATATATATATATATATATATATATATATATATATATATATATATATATATATATATATATATATATATATATATATATATATATATATATATATATATATATATATATATATATATATATATATATATATATATATATATATATATATATATATATATATATATATATATATATATATATATATATATATATATATATATATATATATATATATATATATATATATATATATATATATATATATATATATATATATATATATATATATATATATATATATATATATTGAATTTCACTATGTTTTTATTGTAGACCTAACCTCACCCGTGGCTTCTTTTTCGCATTTAATTCAACTCCCAATCTCATTTGGGCCCAACAATAAAAAAAATAAGCACATTACATATGTGAAAACCTGAATCATTGTTTTTTTAACCCCACCGAAACTTGAACATGGTGCTTATAATTACTAAGCAATGGCGCTACCAACTACACCACAAAATGTTAAAAGGAACCAGACCTTATAGCTTATATCTGCTATACTTAGGAATGAACGCATTGTATATGAATGCCACTATGTTGATATTAGAGATTCGTCAAATTCAGTCTTCTCTTTATTTTCGCATTTAATTGAATTCACAATCTCATTTGGGCCCATAAATAAGAAAATAAGCACAATACATATGTGAAAACAGTAATATTTTTTTTAACCCTGACCGTGACTTGAACCTAGGGCTTATAATTACTAAGACAAGGCGCTACCAACTACACCACAAAGGTTAAAAGGAATCAGACTTTATAGCTTACATCTGCTATACTTAGGAATGAACTCAACGTATCTGAATGCCACTATATTCATATTAGAGATTCCCCAACCTTACTCGTGGCTTCATTTTCGCATTTAATTCAATTCCCAATAACATTCGGGCTCAACAGTATCCAAATAAACACATTACATATGTGAAATCATGAATAATTTTTTTACCCCAAGTGGGACTTGAACATAGGACTTATAATTACTAAGTGAAGGCGGTAAAAATTACACCACAAAAGGTTAAAAAGAATTAGACCTTATAGCTTATATCTGCTATACTTAGGAATGAACGCATTCTATCTGGATGCCACTATGTTCATATTACAGATAGCCCAACCTCACTAGTGGCTTCATTTTCGCATTTAATTCAACTCCCAATCTCACTCGTGCTCAACAATAATCAAATAGGCACATTACATCAGTGAAAACCTAAATCATTTTTTTTACCAATACCGGGACTTGAACCTAAGACTTATAATTACTAAGTCAAGGCGCTACCAACTACACTACAGAAGGTTAAAAGGAATCAGACCTTATAGCTTATATCTAGTATACTTAGAAATGAACTCATTGTATCTGAATGTCACTATGTTCATATTAGAGATTCCCCAACCTCATTCATGGCTTCTTTTTCGCATTTAATTCAACTCCCAATCTCATTTCGGCCCAACAATAACCAAATAAGCACATTACATATATGAAAAAAAAATTTACCCCGACCTGGACTTGAACATATGATTTATAATTACTAAGTGAAGGTGCTACCAACTACACCACAGATAGTTAAAAGGAATCATACTCTATAGCTTATATCTGCTATAATTAGGAATGAATGCATTCTATCTGAATGCCACTATTTTCATAATACAGATTCCCCAACCTCACTCTTGGCTCCATTTTCACCTTTAATTCAACTCCCAATCTCATTCGGGTCCAACAATAACCAAATAAACACCTTACATATGTGAAAACCTAAATAATTTTATTTAACCCTACCGTGACTTCAACCTAGGACATATAATTACTAAGTCAAGGCGCTACCAACTACAGCACAGATGGTTGAAAGGAATCAGACCTTATAGCTTATATTTGCTATACTTAGAAATGAAGGCATTCCATCTGAATGCCACTAGGTTTATATTAGGTATTCTCGAACCTCACTCATGGCTTTATTTTCGCTTTTAATTCAACTCCCAATCTCATTCGGGCCCATTAATAACCAAATAAGCACATTACAAATGTGAAAATTTTAATAATTCTTTTTACCTCTACCGGGACTTGAACCAAGGACTTATAATTACTAAGTCAAGGCACTACCAACTACACCACAGATGGTTAAAAATAATCAGACCTCATAGCTTATAATTGCTATACTTTGGAATGAACGCATTGTATCTGAATGCCTCTCTGAACATATTACAGATTTCGTAACCTCACTTTTGGTTTCATTTTCGAATTTAATTCAACTCCCAATCTCATTCGGGCCAAACAATAACCATATAAGCACATTACATACGTGAAAACATGAATCATTTTTTTTTACCCTGATCGTGACTTGAACCTAGGACTTATCAATACTAAGTCAAGGCGCTACCAACTACACCACAGAAGGTTTAAAGGAATCAGACCTAATAGCTTATATCTGCTATACTTAGGAATGAACGCATTCTATCTGAATGCCATTATGTTCATATTAGATATTCCCCAACCTCACTCGTGTCTTCATTTTCACATTTAATTCAACTCCCAATCTCATTCAGGCCCAACAATAACCAATTAAGCACATTACATATGTGAAAACATGAATCATATTTTTACCGCCACCGGGACTTGAACCTAGGACTTATAATTACTAAGTAAAGGTGCTACCAACTACACCACAGAAGGCTAAAAGAAATCATCCATATAGTTTATATCTGCTATACTTAGGAATGAACGCATTGTATCTGAATGCCACTATGTTCATATTACAGATTACCCAACCTCACCCGAGGCTTCATTTTCGGATTTAATTCAACTCCCAATCTCACTCTGGCAAAACAATAACCAAATTAGCACATTATATATGTGAAAACATGAATATTTTTTTTTTACCTCAACCGGGACTTGAACCTGGGACTTATAATTAATAAATCAAGGCGCTACCAACTGCACCACAGAGTGTTTAAATGCGAAAATGAATCCACGTGTGAGTTTGGGGAGTCTGTAATATGAACCTCGTGGCATTTAGATAGAATGTGTTCATTCCTATGTATAGCAGATATAAGCTATAAGTTCTGATTCCATCTAACCTTCTGTGGTGTAGTTGGTAGCACATTGACTTAGTAATTATAAGTCCTAGGTTCAAGTCCCTGTCTGTTTAAAAAAAATTATTCATGTTTTCACATATGTTATGTGCTTATTTGATTATTGTTTGCCCGAATGAGATTGGGAGTTTAATTAAATGCGCAAATAAAGCCACCAGTGAGGTTGGGCAATCTGTAATATGAGCATAGTGGCATTCATATAGAATGCGTTCATTTATATTTATAGCAAATTTAAGCTATAAGGTGTGATTCCTTTTAGCCTTCTGTGGTGTAGTTGGTAGCGCATTCACTTAGTAATTATAAGTCCTATGTTCAAGTCACGGTCGAGGTAAAAAAAATTATTCAAGTTTTCACATATGTAATGTGCTTATTTGGTAATTATCGGGCACGAATGAGGTTGGGAGTTGAATTAAATGTGAAAATGAAGCCACAAGTGAGGTTGGGAAATTATGTAATATAAACATGGTGGCATTCAGATAGAATGCATTCATTCCTAAGCATAGCAAATATAAGCTATAAGGTCTGATTCCTTTTAACCTTCTGTGGTGTAGGTGGTATTGCCTTTACTTAGTAATTATAAGTCCTAGGTTCATGTCACGGTCGGAGTAAAAAGAATTATTAATGTTTTCACATATATAATGTGCTTGTTTGTTTATTGTTGGGCCCGATTGAGATTGGGAGGTGAATTAAATGCGAAAATTAAGCCACGAATGAGGTTGGAGAATCTTTTATATGAAAATAGTGGTATTCAGAGAGAATGCGTTCATTGCTAAGTATAGCATATATAAGCTATAAGGTCTGATACCTTTTAACCTTCCTTGGTGTAGCTGGTAGCGCCTTGACTTAGTAATTATAAATCCTAGGTTCATGTCTCGGTCGGTGTGAAAAAATATTATCCATGTTTTCACATATTTAATGTACCTATTTGGTTACTGTTGGGCCCGAATGAGATTGGGAGTTGAATTAAATGCGAAAATTAAGCCACGAACGAGGTTGGGGAATCTTTAATATGAAAATAGTGGAATTCAGATAGAATGCGTTCATTGCTAAGTATAGCATTTATAAGCTATAAGGTCTGATTCCTTTGACCTCCTGTGGTGTAGCTGGTAGCGCCTTGACCTAGTAATTATAAGTCCTAGGTTCATGTCATAGTCGGTGTGAAAAAAAATTGTCCATGTTTTCACATATGTAATGTCCTTATTTGGTTATTGTTAGGCCGGAATGAGATTGGGAGTTGAATCAAATGCGAAAATTAAGCTGCGAGTGAGGTTGGGGAATCTTTAATATGAAAATACCGGTATTCAGATAGATTGCGTTCATTGCTAAGTATAGCAGATATAAGCTTTCAGCTTTTTGTGGCGTAGTTGGTAGCGCCTCTACTTAGTAATTATAAGTCCCCGGTTCAAGTCCCGGTCGATGTAAAAATATTATTAAAATTTTCATATATATAATGTGCTTATTTGGTTATTTTTGGGCCCGAATGAGATTGGGAGTTGAATTAAATACGAAAATGAAGCAAAGAGTGAGGTTGAGGAATCTGCAATTTTAACATAGTGGCAGTCTAATAAAATTCGTGGATTCTTATGAATAGAAGATATAAGGTATAAGGTCTAACTATTTTTAACCTTCTATGTTGTAATTGATAGTGCCTTGACTTAGTAACTATAAGTCTTAGGTTCAAGTCCCGGTACGGGTTAAAAAAATGACTCAGGTTTTCACATATGTAATGTGCTTATGTGGTTATTGTTGGGCCCAAATGACATTGGGAGTTGAATTAAATGCGAAAATGAAGCTACAAGTGAGGGTGGGGAATCTGTAATATAACATAGTGGCATTCAAATACAATGCGTTCATTCCAAAGTATAGCCGATAGAAGCTATAAAGTCTGATTCCTTTTAACCTTCTTTGGTGTAGTTGGTATCGCCTTGACCTAGTAATTATAAGGCGTAGGTTTAAGACCCGGTTTTGGTAAAAAAAATGATTCAAGTTTGCACTTATGTACTCTCCTTACTTGGTTATTGTTGGGCCCAAGCGATATTGGGAGTTGAATAGAAAGTGAAAATGAAGCCATGAGTTAGGTCGGGAAATCTGTAATATGAACTAGTTTCATTCAGATAGAATGCGTTTATTCCTATTATATCAGATATAAGCTATAAGGTCTGATTCCTTTTAACATTCTGTGGTGTAGTTAGTAGCACCTTGACTTAGTAATTATAAGTCCTAGCCTCAAGTTCTGAGTTGGGTAAAAAAAAATTTATGTTTTCGATTATGTAATGTGCTTATTTGGTTATTTTTGGGCCCGATTGATATTGGGAGTTGAATTAAATACGAAAATGAAGGCACGAGTGAGGCTGTTGAAGCTGTTATAAGAACATAGTGACATTCAGAAAGAATGCTTTCATTCCTAAGTATAGCAGATATAAGCTATAAGGTCTGATTCATTTTAACCTTTTGTGATGTAGTTTGTAGCGCCTTCACTTAGTAGTTATAAGTCCTTGGTTCAAATCCAGGTCAGGGTAAAATTTTTTTTCCATGCTTTCACATATGTATTGTGCATATTTGGTTATTTTTTGGCCCGAATGACATTGGGAGTTGAATTAAATGGGAAAATGAAGCCACGAGTGAGGTTGGGGAATCTGTAATATGAACATAGTGGCATTCAAATAGAATGCGTTTATTCCTAAGTATAGCAGATATATGCTATAAGTTCTGATTCCTTTTAGCATTCTGTGGTGTAGTCGGTAGTGCCTTGAAATAGAAATTATAAGTCCTAGGTTCAAGTCACAGTCGGGGTAAAAAAAATTATTCAAGTTTTCACATATGTAATGTGCTTATTTGGTTATTGTTGAGCTCGAATGAGATTGGGAATTGAATTAAATATGAAAATGAAGCTATGAGTGATTTTGGGCAAATATGTAATATAAACATGGTGGAATTCAGATATAAAGCGTTCATTCCTAAGTACAGCAGATATAAGCTATAAGGTCTGATTCCTTTTAGCTTTCTGTGGTGTAGTTGGTAGCGCCTTGACATAGTAATTATAAGTCCTAGGTTTATGTCACGGTCGGTGTGAAAAAAAAAATTATTCATGTTCTCACATATGTAATATGCCTATTTGGTTATTGTTGGGCCGGAATGAGATTGGGAGTTAAATTAAATGCGAAAATTAAGCCACGAGTGAGGTTTTGGAATCTTCAATATGAAAATAGTGGTATTCAGAGAGAATGCGTTCTTTCATAAGTATAGCAGATATAAGTAATAAGGTCTGATTCCTTTTAACCTTCTGTGGTGTAGTTGGTTCCGCCTTGACTTAGAAATTATAAGTCCTAGGTTCATGTCAAGGTCGGTGTAAAAAAATAATTCCTGTTTTCACCTATGTAATGTGCTTATTTGGTTATTGTTTGGCCTGAATGAGATTGTGAGTTGAATTAAATGCGAAAATTAAGCCACGAGTGAGGTTGGGGAATCTTTAATATGAATATAGTGGTATTCAGATAGAATGCATTCATTCCTAAGTATAGCAGATATAAGCTATAAGGTCTGATTCCTTTTAGCTTTCTGTGGCGTAGTTGGTAGCGCCTTGACTTAGTAATTATAAGTCCCAGGTTCAAGTCCCGGTCGATGTAAAAAAATTATAAAAATTTTCACATATGTAATGTGCTTATTTGGTTATTTTTGGGCCCGAATGCGATTGGGTGTTGAATTAAATACGAAAATGATGCCAAGAGTGAGGTTGAGGAATCTGTAATTAGAACATAGTGGCATTCAAATAAAATTCGTGGATTCCTATGTATAGCAAATATAAGCTATAAGGTGTAATTCCTTTTAACCTTCTGTGGTGTAGTTGATAGCGCTTTGACTTAGTAATTATAAGTCTTAGGTTCAAGTCCCGTTACAGGTTAAAAAATGATGCAGGTTTTCACATTTGTAATGTGTTTATTTGGTTATTGCTGGGCCCAAATTAGATTGAGAGCTAAATTATAAGCGAAAATGAAGCTACAAGTGAGGGTGCTGAATCCGTAATATAAACATAGAGGTATTCAAATACAATGCGTTCATTTCTAAGTATAGCAGATATAAGCAATAAGGTTTGATTCCTTTTAACCTTCTGTGGTGTAGTTGATATCGTCTTGACTTAGTAATTATAAGGCCTAGGTTTAAGACCCGGTTGGGATAAAAAAAATGATTCTAGTTTTCACATATGTACTGTGTTTATTTGGTTATTGTTTTGCCCCTATGAGATTGGGAGTTGAAGTAAATGTGAAAATGAAGCCATGATTGAGGTTGGGCAATCTGTATTATGAATATAGTGGCATTCAGATATAATGCATTCATTCATAAGTATAGTAGATATAAGCTACAAGGTCTGATTCCTTTTAAATTTCTGTGGTGTAGTTGGTAGCACCTTCACTAAGTTATTATAAGTCCTAGGTTCAAGTTCCGATCGGGGTAAGAAAAATGAATAAATATATATATATATATATATATATATATATATATATATATATATATATATATATATATATATATATATATATATATATATATATATATATATATATATATATATATATATACATATACATATACATATACATATACATATACATATACATATACATATACATATACATACACATACACATACACATATACATATATATATATATATATATATATATATATATATATATATATATATATATATATATATATATATATATATATATATATATATATATATATATATATATATATATATATATATATATATATATATATATATATATATATATATATATATATATATATATATATATATATATATATATATATATATATATATATATATATATATATATATATATATATATATATATATATATATATATATATATATATATATATATATATATATATATATATATATATATATATATATATATATATATATATATATATATATATATATATATATATATATATATATATATATATATATATATATATATATATATATATATATATATATATATATATATATATATATATATATATATATATATATATATATATATATATATATATATATATATATATATATATATATATATATATATATATATATATATATATATATATATATATATATATATATATATATATATATATATATATATATATATATATATATATATATATATATATATATATATATATATATATATATATATATATATATATATATATATATATATATATATATATATATATATATATATATATATATATATATATATATATATATATATATATATATATATATATATATATATATATATATATATATATATATATATATATATATATATATATATATATATATATATATATATATATATATATATATATATATATATATATATATATATATATATATATATATATATATATATATAAATATATAAATATATATATATATATATATATATATATATATATATATATATATATATATATATATATATATATATATATATATATATATATATATATATATATATATATATATATATATATATATATATATATATATATATATATATATATATATATATATATATATATATATAAATAAATTACTTAGTAATTTCGTGACCTT